AAGGCGGTAGTGCCAGGGCGGGAGTGCCCAAATTTCATAAAGCCACCACGAGTGCAAGACCCGCCATAGCTCGGTAATCATTCTAGTCCGGTCGAGTCGGTCTATAAAGCAACAAGTCGGGATTTAAAGTAACAAGTCTTGTGATGTCAGTTTGCCATGTTTGGATGAATGTTTACATGTCATGGGAGTGTGTAAAATATGGATCAATGAGTATGCTTTAATTGTTCGAATGATTGCATAAATTAACTGTGTTGTATGTATAACATGCTTTTTATATCTAGCTCACCCTTGCATTGTTTGTGTTATGTGCTGTTTGGGTATGTTTCTTTGGCGATGATCATCCACTTGGATGGGAGCAGATGTTGAGGAGGAAACTTTGGGAGCAGCTCTTGATGGAGACGGCAGTGCTACAGCTTAGAAAACTAGTTATTATTTCGTAAACTCGTTTTATTTGGAAGGAAATTTTGTGTATTTTAAGTTTTAAATTATCCGTAATACCCAAAGAGAAATCCTAATACTCTAGTTGTCAATTCCGCTATATTCTGAGGATGATTGTAATCCTTAATTACTCTTGACTGCTTTCCTATATTATGCATGATGATGTCTTTATTATATATGCATGATGTATATAATTGGGATGTCACATAATGCATGAACGATAAAGTGCTTCGATGCTTATATACCTTATTCTTGATATTTGTGCAGTTCACAAAAGTACAAAAGACTTTATCATAATCACTACACACAGGAAAAATACGTTGAGAGGTATAAAGAACATTATGGGTATGTTTCCCTTGAAGACTTCTACTCTAACACATCATACAAGCTACGTTTTGCTAAAAGCTATGACAAAGCATTGTACCTCTACAAAGTAGACTTGAGTTTGACTTCTCACCTAAAAAGGTCATTTCTCAAGAAAAGCTATAAATAAATGGAAGTTTGAAGAAAATATAAGAAGGATAATATAATGAACTTGTGAACATTCATACAAGCTTATTGTTGCTCTACATCGTCTGAACTAAATTTTCTAAGAGAAATAACCATAGAAAAATCTCAGATTTTATTATATTGCCTGTATCCTCTCCTTGATAGTTATCATCTATATTTTCTCTTAACACTCATTGTGTTGTACATTATGAAGAGAATCAAAACACTTGATGTTTAGCTCAGTTGAGTTAAACACTCTAGACAATTGTCTAGGATTGAACCAAAATGGTTAAAATACTTGTATACTAAGAGTGATTAAACTTAGACTAGTTGTGTTGACTAGGTGAACCATGAGTGATGCTAATACTCGTTGTAAACCTAAAGAGATAAAACTTGTGTAATATTTTTGAAGATTAGTGAAACCCCTTAAGAGTTCTTAAGGGATAACTGGACGTAGCTCAGGTTGAGTGAATCAGTATAAAATTTATGCTTTATTGTTTTGCTTCTTCAAACATTTTCCTTAAAACTATTTTTAAAGACAATCGTCTAAACATATATTTTGACTATCAATCTTTTGAAAACCTATCAGATGTTGATTTGCGAAAAATTTTAAAAATACTATTCAACCCCTCCCCCTAGTGTTTTCTTGTGATTTTACATTCCTTGTCAAAAGAGTGAAGGCGCTAACCATGTGGGCAATTTATTTTTCAAGAAAGTGGTAAGACTACATGCCATTTCAAGGAGCATTACATCCGATAGAGATGTAAAAATTGTAAGCCATTTTTGGAAGGTATTGTGAGGTAAGTTAGGTATAAAACTTCTCTTCTCTAAAATGTGTAGTCCTCAAAGATATGGATAAATCAGAGTGGTAATCAAACTCTTTTTCAACTCCTTGGATGATTTATAAATAAAAATTTGTGAACTTTGGAGGAATGGATACCTCATGTGGGATTTGGTTATAATAGGATAGTTCATTCTACTACTTGTATGTCTCCATTTGAGGTAGTCTATGGTTTTAACTCACTAAGTCCCTTCTATTTGTTGCCTTTTTCCTAATATTGATTTTATGACTAACAAAGATAGTCTTGTCAAAGCTAATTTTTTTTAGTAACTTGCATAAGGAAGTGAAGGCACAAATTGAAAATAAAACGAAGAAACTGGCTTCTAAAGCTAAGTAAAGGAGGAAGAAGATGAAGCTTGAACCCAAAGATTGGGTGTGGGTACACCTTAGGAATGAAAGGTTTCCTTCCAAAAGGAAATCTAAGCTCCTTCCTAGAGGAAATCTAAGCTCTTTTCGAAAAGAAATCTAAGCTCCTTCCTAGAAGAGATTGACCTTTTCAAGTTCTTAAGAGAAATAATGATAATGCTTACATTTTGATCTACCTAATGATTATGGAGTAACTTACAGTTTCAACATTAATGACTTGTATCCGTTTGATGAAGGTACTAATTTGAGAAAAAATTCACTTTAAGAAAGGAATGATAAATTACTATCCATTGATTCTATAGAAGAAGAACTTGAGGAAGAGTTATTGCAATTCAAAAGACCTAACAAGGTCAATAAGCAAACATTTAGAAGAACAAATCTTCTCGAGATTCATGATGTTCCATGAAGATTGTAATTCAAAGGACATGAAGATCATGGCTTGGAGTACAATTATAGAATAGTTTAGACAATTCAAAGTATTTGTAATTTTCTTATAATTTTTAAGTAGGCTGTTTCTGTTTTTAAATTTTTAAGTTATTTTTGGATATAATGTGTTTGGGTTTTCTTTTAGGGTTTCTTATGTGGGTTAAGCATTTGTGGCTTTATATAGGGATAACAAATACATATTGGTTGGTCAATAAATGAATTTTGAATTCAATAAGAGAGAATTCTCTTGGTTCTTGTCATAGAACTTTAATTCTTATCAAAGATAGACTTCTTAGTAAAAAATCTTCATTGACTCATTAATCTACTAGATTGTGATGTCCTAACTCTGGTTCTTATCAAACATGAAAATCTTTGTAGTGAATCTTCATTGACTCATAAATATGCTAGATTGTTATGTCCTCGTCTTAATCTTAATTTCACGTTCTTCTCTGATTTATTTTTGTTTATCTCTTAAGGATTCAAATTTAAAAACAATATTATTTTTTTCTATCCCATTTACAAACAATATTATTTTTTCCTGGATAGAATCGTATCACTAATATTAGATTTCCTTGCACTACACCTTCACTTTGCAATTCCTTCACCCTTTGCACTGCCTTAATTTTCGAGAGCTTCAACTGATGCACTCTATTTTGGTTCATAGATTCCTCACAACCAATGTTGTATGTCATAGTTTCCTCACGCCTAATAATCCTTTAAAAGGAATAAGTGTCATAAGACAGTGTCTCACAAAATCAAGCCATAAGTACAATTTTAAATAACAATCTATAAGCATGACTTTGGCAACAACATCTAAGTTTCTTGTATTACATCACAAATTGCGACCACATTTATAATCAACTTTTAACAATATCCAATATTACAATATTATCTAAACCGAATGCATGTGAAAAGCATAATGAATTCTACAATGATTTTTCATTTTAGATTTTACAATCCGACATATGTATTTCACGATAATCCATAATATATAAAAAGTATAAAAGATTGAGATACCAACATTTATTTAGTGTTAATAAAAATTATCTTGGTAAAATAGAATAAATTAGACTCAAAACTAATGATGTTTTCTGGAATTGTATTTTTGTATAAAATTCCACACAAATTTTCTTTTCATTTTAATAAAATTATACTTTCACCAAAGTAGTACCTTCTAAGTTGAAAAAAAGAACATTATATTTTTTAATTGAATTTTTATTATTTAATTATTTTAAGGTGATATGAATATTATTTCATATAATCATTTTAATGTCTTCATATTCGAAAAAAAATGATATTAACGCCTTACATTTTTTAAAACGTGCAAAGAGAAAAATAAAATAATCAAGTTATTCAATTAACAAAAAATTAAAAAACATAACTTATTTAAAAAATATAAAATTTTTAAATACTTAATAGACAACAAGTTTAATAAAAATTTAATTAAAAATATTTAAATTTATAAAAACTTAAAATTTAATTAAAATTAAAAAATGTAGAAAATATTATATATAGAACATGATGCTAAATAAAAATGTACGATTTCTTTAATTTTAGGTTTAATTGCTTCCTTTGTCCCCAGTTTGGTTGAATTGTGTCAAATTCATCCTCATTTTTAAAAAAGTTTCATTGTCGTCCTCACGTGGTATAAAAGTGTCAATTGAATCCAAACATAGAAAAAATTTGTGTCAAAGTAGTTATTTTTCCTATATCTCTGTGTCTTCCTTTCATATGTCACTTCTCTGGAGCTATGAAAAGCCTTAAATTGGATAAGGTAAAATGAATATCTGTACTTGATTGTATGAAAGGAAGACACAGATATATAGGAAAAATGACTACTTTGACACAAATTTTTTCTATGTTTGGATTCAATTGACACTTTTACACCACGTGAGGACGACAATGAAACTTTTACACCACGTGAGGATGACAATGAAACTTTTTTAAAAATGAGGATAAATTTGACACAATTCAACCAAACTGGGGACAAAGGAAGCAATTAAACCTTAATTTTATTATTTAAAATGTTTTGTAGAGTGTATACCACCGTGAAAGGGCTAATAAAATAGTTTCAAAAAGAAAAAAAAAATACATAAAAGGGTAATGTAATGATTTAGTTGAAACCATGGCCATTGCGTGAGAAGCATCCCAAAGACTTCCGAGTGACGCCAATAATACCCTTGCCTTTTCTCCCTTCTCTCCCTCTCACCCTTTATAAACAGATTTCTGTGTACGATTTGGTGACTCACTGCAACGGCATGGAGGATAGTTTCAGAGTGCGAGTAGAGAGAGCCTTTGGTTCTCTTCCAATACCCTCTTCTTCTATCAACTCTCTGTGGTCTCTCACCGAAGACGAAATCGATAACGCACGCTCCAAACGAACCCTCCAACCCCAACCCTACCCTTTTTCCAGTTCGCGGGTTCAGCCGGAGGACCTAGACGATCTTGAAGACGACGACGTCGACGAAGAAGCACCACGTGGACCCTCTAAACCCCCCGATTACGATGATGAACAGTGGCAGATTAGGTCTGGTATTGGCCAAGATTGCACCCTCGATTACGAGGTATATATACCATTCATCCCTCTTTATTCTTTTCCCCCAATAATATTTTATCATGAACTAACATTATGCAGTTATAATTTTAATTCAATCAATTTGATGATGAAAATTGCTTCTTTTTTTCCTTTTTGAAAAAAAAAATCATTTAGACCTGCGATGAAGGAAAGCTTTTTCCTTTTAATTTGGGTTTACTATCCCTCTTTTTTGTGTGTGAGGAAATTGTCTAGGAAGAAGATTTAAATATATTGAAGAGTCTGTTACTGTTACCACTTAGTCCCCCCATGGGTTCACTGTTGTTCCACCTTAACTAGCTGTTGTTCCACCTTAACTAGTGGTCTCTAAATTTGAGGGTTTTTTGGTTTAATGTGAAAATTTGTGTAGGAAGATGAGTTTATTGAAGAGTATATTATGAAGGTGATGGACTAAGATTGTATACTTAAATTTCATATATAATGAAACACGTGGATCTAATCGGATGGGGTTGTTTCATTTTAGTTAAATGGTTTTGTGTTTGAACCCATGGTATGCATGCACCAAATTCCTTTTATTGTGGTTGTTATCATTTGTGTAAGCAAATATATAATTAAACTTGAGAAGGGCTATCTGTTTTTTCTCTGTGATTGTTGTTTTTGTTGTCAGTTTTTGTTACCAGTTTTTCACTGTCAAAGTTTGGATTGGAAAAGAAAATTGAGTGAATCACACTTTATGTAGGAAGAGGAAGATCAATATGACAAACAGGCTATTGGGAAAGAGGATTCGGGTGATCGTGTGTACATGAAGGATGTAAAGGACGATGGAGTTGAGATTAGTTCTAGCAGTGTTTTCCCCACCTCGTTTAGAGATTTTGTGCGAGATCCGCGTGCAAATCATTTGGCTGCAAGGATTAGGCTGAAGCAGGATGATGAAGCCGCTAAAAAGATTGATGCTCTACATGTCTCTGAGAAATCCACACCAGACGTAGGCAGTGGCGGAGATGTTACTAATCCCAAGTCAATTTTGAAGAGTAAGGATAATTCTGGGGAGTCCAGGCCTCAGAAACGGGTTCGGTTTGACCCTGAATGTGATGATAAAGATAATTATGATGATGATGGGCACGAAGAAGCTAGGGATGTTCGCATGAAGACCTCTTCAATGGAAGAGGTTCCTGCTTCGGACCAGTTGTCAAAGTCACAAGAATTTAATTTAGCAGTTCCGGATTACATTCGAAATCCTTCCAGATACACTCGATATACCTTTGATGATTCTCCTAGTGAAATGGATGACAAATCAAACAAGGAAGCATACATGAGCTTCCTTTCGCAGTTGAATAAGGGAACTGCATCTCAAGCGGATGATGTTCTGGATGATCTTCCATCTGTGACCTTTATATCAAAGAAGAAATCCGGTGATTCCTGTATGCGTGACAGTGAGATGGTTTCAAAGCACAAGCTTGATGATGGCGCCGTGAATAGAATAAGCTTCCCTGTTGGCATTGCTGCTGGTGACTCTGAAAACAGTGACGTTTCTGCAATGGAGGAGGATGAACAAGAAGTTGGGGATGTTAAAAAGAGCATGCAGAAGTTCAACCGCAAGTACAGGAAGAAAACCCAAGAGGAGTTGGAGGAGCCAATTGTGTAATATGATGTAGTTAGTTAAGAAACCTGTGTTATTTGCCATAATCAGACTTGTACCTTTTCCCCCTTTGTGTCTCTCAGACTAATGGTCCCATTCATACATTTGTTGAACGACATCATGCGCCTTCAGTTTCTGGATGGATAACTGCTGTAGATGTAAACTTTAACTCAAGCTTTATAACAAGAGGTAAAGATTAAGATGTGTTAAAATATTCGTATGTTTAAGAGTATCAAATGCTGAAGAGTTGCCCGTAATTTTCATTTGGTTTAATTCGTTAATTTCAATCTGTTTCGCTGAGTTTATAATGTGGCATGTTACAATTACGTTTTTAGGTTGTATATCACAATTGTATGCAAGAATTAAAAGCATGTGTGTAAAGTTGAATCACGACAATGGAACCCTCAGACAGGAATTGTGTCATTTATTTCCTACAATGGAGTAAAAGACTGTCACTTCTTTCACCCCAATTATTTCTTCTGCACCTCCCCAATAATTTTAATATCCACTGAAAAGAGAAAACACGTGCACCTCCCTCGCAGTCTAACCTCACAGTTAGGCCGCCGCTGTAACCGCTGTTTGGTGGGTGTTGTACAGAGGTCGAGTTGAATGAGATGCTGAGGGACATTCTGGTGGGTTATTTTGTGGACCGTTCTGAAACGTTTCTTCGAATTCAGAAATATGTTTTGGCTTATTAAAATTTATAATTAACATAAATTATATAATTTAAAACAAAATTTCATTCTTATTTTATTGAGAAACTCAATTACAAATATATCTTATTGAAAACAAAAACTTAAGTTTAAACACTATACCAAATGTCTCGTTATTCATCTCCCTAACATCATATATCTTCCTCACCTGTATTAAATATGTTTCCGTATAATAGATAGAATAACTTTTCAAAAAAGAAAAAAATACAAACTCAAACAACAATTTAAATATAGTCGAATTTTCAAAACATGACATTAGAACAATTTATATAATCATAAGTTAACTCAATGTTAGGAGTCAATTTGTAACTCTTGCATGCATCTTACTAATACAAGTATAATTTTTTATTACTTTCTTTAGAGGCCTTGACATATACAATTATCACATTCCATTACTTCCCTTGAGAGCCTTGACGAAGTATATAGGTGTCACTTCTCATTATTCTCCTCGAGAGTCTGGCCAAGTTCACCTCTAGTACAACTACGTAGAGTTACCTTTCATCACCTTTTGCTAAGTCACCACATATAAACACGCAAGAAGACAATAAAAGAAAAAATGTAAACTCCTCTTATCTTTTACTCTTCACTTCTTTCTTCTTTCCCATAAAAACTCAACCTCTTTTAAGACTTTCTCCCTTCTTCCTTAACTTGCCATTGTTTATATTTAAACACTCTAGCTTAACTTGCCATTGTTTCTATTTAAACTATCTACCTAGACTTTGTTCTCTTATATATTTATAAGTCTAATATTTTCAAGGAAAATACAATATTTTATTTTCACTTATTATTATCTAACAAAAATATATAATTATATTTAATAATATCTTAAGATATCTTTTAATTTATAACAATATAATAATATCCAAGATTATCAACTCATATACAACAATATCTAAAATATCTTTCCTAATTGAATAATTATTCACAAAATCTTATTTCTTAGAAAATCTTTTACAAATAAAATAAATCCTTTATATTATAATTAACAAACCGTTTTATTTTTTACTTAAAATATTTAACCATATTTATATTTTTTTTAATTATTAAAATTTCCATTCAAGATATGTGATAGGGAGGTTAGTAAAGAAATTGAAGTTTGATGACAATTTTGCATTTTATATAGTATGACACATACATTATGTGTACAATCGAGAAAAATTGAAATTGGTAACAGTGGCAAAATGGGCCAACCTAGCTTGTTTAAGCCAACCCAATATTGCCCCTCTAAAAATGGGCGAGGTCAAGCTGGTGTGCCAGTTGAAAACAGGTTAAACTTTACAACTCGACCTGGTGATAAGTGTCCCATTTAAGTGAATTTTAAGATAATTTTGACACATCTTGTTTTGATTTTGTTTATCTTATGCTTAATTCACCTGTATTTAATTTGCTTTTCAATTCTTGATATCAATAAAGAATCAAATGAAAAATGAACAAAATAGAGGAATTTTAAGCAATTTCTGGCAAACTGAATTTGGTGCGGCTTCAACATGAAACTTAAGGCTTGAGCCACATGAAGAAACCCACCTTAGAGGAAATCCTCAAGCATTGCATCTGAGGCTAGGTCATAAACAATCCTTCCCATAGAAGTTATCTCTGGGGCTGCAATACAAAAGCATGGGGCTTAAACCATAGAGGAAATCCATGTTGGAAGGAAACCTTTGTAATTGTAGCCATGACATCATCGCTGAAGCCACGCCCTGGACAATTTATAAATACAAACCTCATGTCCTTATTTTAGGCATTGAGTGGATGATCAAATATGTAATAATAGAGTAAGAATGAGTTTGTGAGGCTTGAGAGAGATGCTTCCATTGTAAATCTTATGTTTAGATGCTGTTAGGATTACATTGCAATATTTATGAGTAGTTGAACTCTCTTGTGTCGAGGTTGGATGTAATCAATTTTAATTCTTTGTACTTCTACTTCTTGGATATTTATTTATGCTTTCATTCAATCCGTTTATGAATTAGTTTGTGCTTTTTGTTAGATGAACTGATCACTTGCCTTATTTCATTAGCTTGGGATTGAGTAGGAATTGATTCCAAGTTGTGGTCCCACCAATTCTTCTCGTATTTTTAGATGCTAGGAATAGATCTAAGGCTCTAGTTGGTTATAAAGTCTTGATCTTAGTGCAAGTGATTCATTTAAGCAGTCAATGAGGAATCAAACATAAGTTCGATGAACTTAGACTCTAGGTGTTAAGAATGGACCTGGAGTGGTGCATGAGTACATAGACAATATCAATAGTGGTGCACTGGAAGAGGATGGGATGAAATCCACTCATAGCCTCTACTTCACTCAATCTATATAATATATACTATTATCAATATTTTTCAAATACAAAATCCCAAAAGAAAAATTACCAATATGCTTGTTAAATCCCACTAGATAGGATAACCTCATTCTATTGTACTACAAATGACTTGGTACACTTGCCAATTGGGCTCAATTAAATAAATCTTTTAAAACTTGATATTATGTGGTTTTATGGATTTTTGGGCTTAAACCTAATGAACATAAAAATTACAATCCAAGATTACCCCATTAATATTTTGGATGTGGTTAACGGATATTTAGTTCAAGTATTTGGTAGTTCTAACCATTATTTTTGTATGTAGATATCTTGTAAATATTGGATTTGTATAGTTGTAAAGTTTCATTTTTTTTACTTTTGTATAAGTTTTGTTTTCATTTTCTATTTTGCTCACACAAATATTTTAGTTTTATGTTTTTCTCTCAAACCAGAGGAAAGTTAAAAGATATATATTTGTATTTTTGTTTGGAATGTTATGTATTTTCGACTGTTTGTTGAAAGAAAAATTCTACATAAAATATGCTCTTTAATTAAAATATGACAACTCGAATCTCTACTGATTGTTTGATGTATAAATTTCTTTACAGTTATTCAATTGAGTTGATTATTTTTTTTATTCAATTTTATTTAATTTGAATGTAAATTCATAATTTTTGGAGGTATTTGGAAGGTGCAATTTAATTCTGAAAACACCAAACAAATTGCAGATGACTTGTAGAGGGTTACTCTTTACACCACCTCCTATTGCTCCCTGCACCACAACATTTTTTAAAAATTTCAAAACAAACCTTTATATTTTAAAAAATCCTACACTTCCACTTCTTTTTTCAACGAATATGCCACATCCATTAACGGATGTGTCCACATCAGTTTAAGCATTATAATTTTTTTTTAGTTTTTAGTTAATTAATTTATTGTATTAATAATAATTATTTAATTAAATTAAATAAAATTAATTTACAAAATATATTATATTAATCTATAAATTAATTAAAATATATTATTTAAATAAACTAAAAATTAAAAAAAAAAACTTAAACGGATATGACCCGGATGTAGCACATCCATTTATTATAATAAATTAAAAAATTTTATAATTAATTAAATTAATAATTATTATTTAATTAATTAAATAAAATTAATTTATTACGTAATTATATATAAATTAATTTTATTTTATAAAATAATTATTATTAATTTAATTTATGTATTATTTTTTAATTAATTATTTAAATATTTTTTATATAATTACCTAAACGGACGTGCAATCTTTTCTTTATTATTTTTTTTTAGTTTTTAGTTTATTATATTTTAACATAATATATAAATATTATTTAAAATGTTTTAAATTTATTACATAATTATATATAAATTAATTTTATTTTATTTAATAAAATAATTATTACTAATTTAATTTATGTATTATTATTTAATTATTTAATTAATTATTTAAATATTTTTTATATAATTACTTAAACGGATGTGTCACGTTAAGGTTTTTTTTAGTTTTTAGTTTATTAATTTATTTTATTTTGAATTAATATCGAAATATTATTTAATTTTTTTATATTTTAAATTAATTTATAAAGTCTTAATTTTTTTTTGTTTTTTTATAATATATTATGTAAATAAAAAATATTATTAAAATAAAATCTAAAATAAAAACAAAAAACTAAAATATAAAAAAAAAGTTAAAATATGTAAACGGATGTCAACATCCGTTCACAGATGTCAACATCCGTTGAAGGTGAAACGGATGTTCACATTCATTTTATAGCAAGGGTAAATTGGGTATGGGGTGGTGTAAGGAGCATTTGGTGGTGGTGGATGGAGCAACACTCTGACTTGGACCTTTGCTACTTGTTTGATAATAACTTTCAGGGTGTTGCTCCCTCCACCACCCCAAGTGCTTCTGCACCTCCCTATTATTTTCTTTTATTCTAAAAATATTCTACACCTCCCCACTATTTTCTTTTATTCCAAAAATATCCTACATCTCCCCACTATCCTCAACAATCTTTCTCTTTTTCTCTCTGCAATAATGGAGCATTCATATGGCTTATATTTAAAATTGTGATATATTAGGAAACTT